CTCTTCCTGTCAGGTTCCTCTCCAGCCATCCACGAGAGTTTCCTTTTTGGGTCTAATGACCAGTCTGCCTTGCTGCAGTTTAGCTCAGCTGCTTGTGGCTGTGTTCTTCTGAACTGCCCAGATTTGTGCCCTGGTGCAGCTTACTGCTCTGCAACTATTTCCAGGGGGAGTTATTGCTTCAGGGGTGGCTTCTACACATGGCTACAGGTTTGCCTGTTTGCTGGCAGCTAGCTCACTGCCTGCTTCCTAGCTGCCAGCCCTCTTGGAGCTAACTCAGCCTGTTGCCCTCTGGCTCCCTGTTGCAGCATATCTATGTGTGTGCATGCTGACTGATTCCCTGTTGGAACCATGGTAGTTAGTGGTGCAAAGCAGAAGTAGGCTGAGTTTAATTGGCTTCTTGAGGAGCCCTTATACAAGAAAATCCTGGTAGAGTAGAAATACTGTAGTGTCAGTATTTGCCAGATTGTGGCACAAAATGAAACCTGTCTTCTCAGTGCTTAAGTTCTTTAACTATCTTGAATGATCCTTAGCAGTGAGAACAGTTGGCATAAGACTTCCAGGGATATTCAAGCTGGACAGCACAAAGTTGCTTCTGCATCAGTAGTGGTATCCACATGACAGATTGTAGACATGTATGATATCTTATAACACTACATGTACATTCTGGCCTTTAATTTTTCCACCTCAAGGCTACTCCTAATGTTCCAGACCTCCAAACCACTTATCCAGGCGATAATTTTAGAAAATGGACAGCCCACCACTAAAAAAGGGTTTCCTCTCTTCATTACACAACTCCTCCTCCTTCTCAGCCTTCCCTCGTCAACTCTGTTTTGAGCTAGAATCATCGATTAAGAAGGTCTGGGTTAGCATTAGATATGTCAGACAGGTCCTTGCTTTTTGAGATCAGAGCTGAGAAAATTTGCCATTAGAAGGTGCTTGTGGCTTCTTGGGGAGAGCTTGCACTTCTACCACTGAAAGGACCTACTGTATTGGACTTCAGATTTGTACTGACTTTAAGTACAGAAAAAGTCATCTAGATATTTTTAGCTGTTTTAAAACGTAAAACAGGCACATGTATTTGGGACTTAGGAAAGCCTGGCTTTACAGGGGAAGGGATTAAAAATCTCCCATTAAAATATTTTAAAGATAACATTAAACATTTCTGAAATATGTTTTTTACATATCAACTATAGAAGAAACAATAGTATAGTGGGGGTATAATCTAGTTTTATTTGGCATGACTTTGGGATGACCTACTCGTTACTGTTGAGTATTATGTTTATGCCAAACTTGTGTCAGTTAACACTTGTGTTGAATAGACTGAGGGAAGGGTGCCATCTACTGAATTGCCAGTATAACGGTTGCAAAAAATCTGAGAAATTTCTTTAAATCTGTGACTTTGTAGATAGATTCATAGAAAGTTAGGGTTGGAAGGGACCTCAGGTCATCTAGTCCAACCCTCTGCTCAGTGCAGAACCAGCCCCGACTAGATCATCCCAGCCAAAGATATGTTAGCCAGGTTTTGAAAACCTCCAAGGATAGAGCTTCCACCACCTCTCTGGGTAACCTGTTCCAGCATTTTACTACCCTCCTAGTGAGAAAATCCATCCTAATATCTAACCTAAACTTCCCTTGTTGCAACTCGAGACCATTGCTCCTTGTTCCGTCATCTGTCACCAGTGAGAACAGTCTAGCTCCATCTTTTTTCGAACCCTCCTTCAGCCCTCTGCTGGGCTCTTTCCAATTTGTTCACATCCTTTCTGTAGCGGGGTGCACTGAACACAGTACTCTGGTTGTGGCCTTGCCAGTGCTGAATAGAGGGGAATAATCTCTTCCCTTGACCTACTGGCAACACCCCTGTAAATGCAGCCCAGGGTGCCGTTAACCTTCTTGGCAGTAAGGGCACACTGCTGGCTCATATTTAGTTCCTTGCCCACTGTAACCTCCAGGTCCTTTTCTGCAGAGCTGCTGCCCAGCCAGTCAGCCCCAGCCTGTACTGGTGCATGGGATTGTTCTGTCCTAAGTGCAGGACTTTGCACTTGTCCTTGTTGAACCTCATCTACCCTTTTCATAGAGAAAAAAAATATATGTAGAAATCCTTGCTCCCTCTTTAACACTGGAGTTTAATTTTGTGATTTAAATTTTATTGTAGGCAGAATTTGGCCCTAATAGTTTGGCAAGATCACCACAAGGAAAAAATCGTACCCCTGTGGGCCATAAGAAAATGATTTCCAGGCTTTTCCAATAGGAATAATTTCTTGGGCTGGAAACTGCATTTTGGTTTCTTATAGTATGCAGTTAGAAGACTAAGGCATAATATCTTTAGGGGGAAAAAAGCATTGCATGAGACTGAAACTTCATTAACATTTCATTTAGCAAGGCAAAATAAAGTTAAAATCATTGTAAGCCTCAACCAATGATTTATTGATCTTTATTTTTCCTAGGAGAGTTGGGAATATATAGGAAGCATGGTCTCTTGGTTAAAACAGGGGCCTGGGTATTAGAATTGCTAAATTGTATTTGTTACTGTATCTTACCTGTGGGTCTCAGTAAGATGTCACAGAATCAATTGGAAGACTTGTATAAATTTCTTTGGGCTATACATTGGGACCTTTATTTCTTAGGTCAAGTAATTTGATCTCTGGCCTTCAGTTCAATCATTTAATGAGTGTTACAGTACCTTTCCCAAAGAGGTATTTGGGGATCTGTAAGTATATTCGGGACAGCTGACTCTAGGATTTATGTAGGGGTGCTTTGGAACCTACCTCTGGGAGAAGTAAGGTATTTTGCACCATTTTCATCATAGATTTTGCAGATTTTAGCCTCCATGCTGCAGTCACCAGTTTTGAGGGGAAATACTTGGCTGTGCGGGAGGTTGCTATTTCAGCACATTATAGTTTTTGTACGTTTGTTTGGGCCACTGAATTTATTCCTTGAGTAATGAAAACTTGGTCACATCATGAAATTTGAATCTGCACTCTCATAAAGACCTATGTTTGTTTTCTCTCTGATAGTGGGTAAAACTCGAACTTACTTTATGTACTTGACAGCCTTGTGTCATTTGTTCTTTCTCAGGACTCTACAGTAGGAGGCAGAGCATGGGCATGTGAAGTCATTTTGGTTGGCATCCCACAGCCAGCCTAGGTTCCGGGCAGCTGCTGCTGGCCATGAAGCCTGGGCTGTTTACAGCAGGTAGTGGGGAGGCTGCAAGCCATGCTTGGCTCCATGGCAAGCAGCAGCTATCCAGAGCCCAGGCCAGATATAGCAGGCAGCCAGGAGGCTGCAACTGGTGCACCAGGGTCCAGAGCCCTGGCCTGGCTCTGTGGCTGGTGGCAGCTGCACATGAACCTTGGGCTCCAGGGCAGGGAAGGGGCTGGGGTTGCACTGCCCCAGCCTCTTTCCCGCCATGTGTCCTGAGGCATGTGCGCAGCTACCACTGCTACAGAGCCCAGGCTGCTTGCAGCAGGCAGGCTACAAACAGCTGCACCAGGGTCTGGAGCCCTGGCCTGGGTCTATGGCTGGCGGCAGCTGTATATGTGCCTTGGAGCAGGGAAAGCTGGGGGCAGTGCAGCCCCAACCCCTTCCCTGCCATGCTCCCCCAGGCACATGTGCAGCTTTTGCTGGTAATGAGCCAGACTGGGGCTCCAGACCCCAGTGCAGCTGCTTGCCGGCTCTTGGCTGCCTGCTGCAAGCTGCCCAGGGTCTGGCTGGCAGCAGGGGCCTGCCCAGAGCCTGGGCTGCTTGCAGCAGACAGCCGCAAGCCTGCAAGCAGCTGCATTGGGGTCCAGAGTCCTGGCCTGGCTTACTGCTGGCAGTGGCTGCATATGTGGAGCACGATGGGAAGGGGCTGGGGCTACACTGCCACAACAAGGATTGGGCTCCTTGTGGTTCCCTCGCTGTCTGCTCCTGGCATGTCAAATCTTCCAAGTCCAGGTTGCTTAGTTTTTTGGCATTCAGCCCAAAAACATTGCCCACCCCTGCTCTGCAGCATCTCTTCTCTATTTTCATAATCTTTCTTTGGAACAATTCAGCTGTGGTAATCAATCTGGTCTGCTTTTCTCTGTTCCTGTCCTATTCTCATACATGCATGTGATATAATCAGAGTCCAGATAGCCCTTCAGTTTGGATTTTATGCAATGCTGGAGGTTTTTTGTTGGATATAACACTTGTCTGAAACTTGAGAAAGTGCACTTGTAGAGGCAAGCTGCTTGGGACAGAGACGGGCTACGTGTGTATGCGTACAGTGCCTAGCATAATGGGTATTACCATGATAAAATAATAATACTAAGTAGTTGGAATGGCTAAAGTATTCGGAGGGTGCTGCGTGACATACGACTGGACGGGATCAGAACAGTAGGGAAGTCAACAAAAGGGTGAAGTCCCTAAACACAAGTCCCATGATGGAAAGGATGCAGACAGGTTAAAGGTTTGGGAAAACAGCTTTCTAGTAGTGTGGGGGCTTATAATGTTGGGCAGGCGGAGCGGGAGGCAGATCTCTCAAAAAAGTGTAAATACTTTACTTACAAAGGGAATTTTTTTGCTTTAAAGTTACATCCCTATCCTACTTCCTCCTATCTTGAAATTCCATTGCGGAAAGCACAGACTCTACACAGGTACTGATATCCATTGGCCCTAGGCTTAACAGAATTATTTTCAGAGCATTGTTCATGTTGCAACTAAGTAGCCCCAGTAGGGGATAATGGCATAAGATTCTGTTCCTCACCTTCTTTCAAGAACTGAGAGGGAGTTGTGGCATAGAAGTTTCCTTTGTTGTATAGCACAGTACAGTTCAATACTAGCCCCTTTCAGTTTCAGAATATAAACATTTACGAAAGCTTTCCTAAACCTATCTGAATGAATAAGCACATGCATACTATATGTTACAAGTAAATGTCATACAAAACATTGTATATAGTGTAACCATTCAAACCTTTGTAGAGAGGTGTTTTAATATTTACATGTAAATTGTTTAACTTTCATATGTGTTCTTATGTTTCTAGGTAACACAACATACCTGTGGGAGTTCCTTCTAGACCTTCTGCAGGACAAAAATACTTGTCCTCGGTACATTAAGTGGACTCAGCGAGAGAAGGGCATCTTTAAACTTGTGGACTCAAAAGCTGTCTCCAAGCTCTGGGGAAAACACAAGAACAAACCTGATATGAACTATGAGACTATGGGAAGGGCCCTAAGGTAAATAAAGGGGAAGAATTCCTTTAACTACACACATAATCTGTATACGCATAATTGATTAATTTGAAATCGGAGACCTTGAAATCAATACCGCCTATTAAAAAGTCTCATTTGAGCCTTTATATACTTACCAGATTTTATAGTTGTTAAACACTGGCTGTTTATTATAAACCAAAATCTCTGCAGTTTACGTTACTTTTTTAATATCTCAATTATTATGTTTATTTTAAAATCTTTTAAAACATGATCTTAAACTCCCAAACTTTTAAGAACTAGTACTTGAAGTACACATAATCAGTATATTTGATTAGTTTATTAAACATTAGCATTTTAAAATTTAATTGTTAGCATAGGATAAGTTCCTGTTTAAAATGATCAGTCTTTTGTTTAATAATTGTATTTTTCCTTGCAGATATTACTATCAAAGAGGAATTCTTGCAAAGGTTGAAGGGCAAAGGCTTGTATATCAGTTTAAGGAGATGCCAAAAAACATAGTGGTCATAGATGATGACAAAAGCGAATCCTGCAGTGAAGATTTGACAATGCCTACTGATGAGAAGTCTTTGGAACGAGTGTCATTGTCTGCAGAAAACCTCTTGAAAGCAGCATCTGCACGTGGAGGAAAAAACTGTTCCCAGTTAAGTTGTACAAGAACAGAAAAAGCAGTTGCCAGAGTTGTAAATATTGCCTCACCAGGGCATGATACATCATCTCGTCCCTCCACCACCACTACCACTGTTCCAGCAACAACAGCTCCCAGGTTGGTGTTAATGTGATTCTGTCAGGAGACTGAGTTCTGTAGGAAGCTATATAGTACTGTCAGATAAACTGGTGCCCAACACCTTGCTAAAATATTAAGAACCCAGTGTAATAGGTTGTAAAGTGGTCTCCAGCTACAAAACCCCTGGGTCTTTTAAAAAATAAGAACCTTTGGTTCCTTAGGTCATTCGTTTAGACTTCCTAATAAACAGCTTGATTTTAAAAAGGGCTTGTGGGGCCAAACTGGTGTTCATCAGTTTTGAAAAATTAGACCCTTTGTTTCTGAGACTACGTATGGACTTAGGGGCCAACTCTAGACTTTTTTAAAAATAAGTTTTGTTTTTTATTAATTGCCTTAAAGTTAGAAAGTCTGTTGTGATTAATGTTGTGAGTCTTGGCAGGATGGAAGTTGATTTACAAGTCTAGCTTGTGGAATGGGAGCCAGTTGCAAACACCTCACAAAAATATTTATTAGTATACTAGTCACTGGACTCATCTTTTCAAAGAATCTCATGATTTATTTAAATGAGGATAGGGATGGGAATGGAGTTTTACTTTCAAACTCTTGCCTGCTGGGTGTATCCAAAAAGGGCAGAGTTTTTAAGACCGTTTGAGTTCTAGTTTTCAGTTCTTTTAGATCTGTTGGTGATCTGCATTTTGGATTTTAATTTTTCAACAGGACTGTTCGTGTGGCGATGCAAGTGCCTGTCGTAATGACATCTCTGGGACAGAAAATTTCAACTGTAGCAGTACAGTCAGTAAATGCAGGGTCACCGTTAATAACCAACACAAGTCCAACAACGGCAACAACTCCAAAAGTAGTAATCCAGACAATCCCTACTGTGATGCCAGCATCTGCTGAAAATGGAGAGAAAATCACAATGCAGCCTGCCAAAATCATTACCATCCCTGCTACACAACTCACGCAGTGCCAGCTGCAGACAAAAACAGGTTTGACTGGGTCAGGAAGTATTAACATAGTTGGAACCCCACTGGCAGTGAGAGCACTTACCCCTGTGTCTATAGCTCATGGGACACCAGTAATGAGACTATCAGTGCCTGCCCAGCAGGCATCTGGCCAGACTCCTCCCAGAGTTATTAGCGCAGTCATAAAAGGGCCGGAAGTTAAATCAGATACAGCAGCTTTAAAACAAGAACGTGAAGTAAAAACACTGCAACTTGTGCAAGAAGAGAAGCCAGCAGATGGAAGCAAGACTGTGACCCATGTTGTAGTTGTCAGTACGCCTTCAGCCATTGCCCTTCCTGTAACAGTGAAAACAGAAGGCATAGTAACGTGTGAGAAATGAAGGATGGGCAGCTACCAATGTGGCTTTTCTAGACTATTATTGATTGAGCATACTGACATAATTGGGGGTAGGAAATGGATGCGATCACAAAGTAAAAAATGAGAATTTCAAAATGTTAACTAATACATTGATGACTTACTGGAAATGAATGAACTGTCCCATATTCCAGTGGGAATTGAACCACATTGATATACTGACAGAAACTGCCTCTTACAGTTGGGAAAACCAACTGAATCAGTGAAGAAAGAAAACGAAAAGGACTGAAAGGGACCAAACAGTTCACTACGTAATCAAGTTACACTAAGACCTGGAACACTAAAATGAATTTGGTGAGAGGCTTGCCTTGGTTTAATTTTCAGGTGGAGAGGAGAGTCTCATTGTTACAGATGGCAAATCTGATGCATTTTGTATGCATACCAGCAATTATTACTGTGTACACACAGTACTCAACTGGTGCTATGTGAAAACTCTGCTACTAGGTATATTAGAATGTGAATAAAAGGAGAGGATTAAAGAGCTTCTATAAGAAGACAAAGAGACCTAGAGGGATTTTGTATCATACAGCTTACGCAGATTTAAAATTGAAAGCCTTAGACTGATTTTCAGTTATCTCTCTTGAAATAAGCTAATGGCTTGTTTGTGTAAAGCTTTTTTTTATTAAAACAAATTTTTTTTAAATCTTGTACCTAGCACAGTATTGTTATAGAATTACATGTAACATATTTTGTATGGTAGTTAAAGTCTGTCTAAATTTCTTAATTGTGAACAAAATAGCAGCAGGCTTTGGGCCTTTTGCTGTAAACATGCCTGTGTCACTCACTTAGCCTTGACATCTGTGCATACATTTCAATTTCAGCTCTACTCTATCACTTGAAAGGTCACACCCAGCATGAATTTTTTGTCAGGTAGTTCTAAAACCTGTAAATTTTTTTTTTAGTTAAACTTAAGAGGGAAGTACCAGTGTTCAGAATGAACTATAATAGTTTGTATATTCAACATTTGAAGTATATTCTATTTTGTTGTACTCTTGTTTCAAAGTGTATTCAAGTAGGTTTTACTGAAATATAGAAATGAAATTTAATTGATTTGGTCTAATGTTTTGTTTTCCCTTCAGTTAGTCCAGCTGTTTAGTTACCAGCTTGATATGCTCCAGTCATGACCCTTATGCAACTGTGACACTTGATTCAGCTGGTTTTGGACCTTCCTTCTCTTGGTGGAAGAACTCGACTCCCCCACATGTAGCATCATGATGCAGGTCTTGGTGCTGGAACAAGTGTTAACTTCCTTTGACTTAGTCATTACAGATAAACATTACCTGTTACGTTACATTCGGGTATTGCAAAAGTATTCCTTTCCCATTCTGCATCCTCCTTGCCCCAGGCACTTTACCTTTCACACACTGGGGGAATAACTCCCTTAAGAGAGCAAGAACATAATTCCTGTACTGCATTCCTTGTACTTTTTGTCTTTTGCACTGAGCACTTTAAGAGGAGGATAATGCGATGCCAGATTTTGTAACAGCTTGGGAAAATGAGGTAACTCAGTAGTTAGGAACAAAACACTGGATCAAATCACCAGTCCATTCTGTACCATTTCCTGTGTAACATTCTTGTTATTACCGTATACTGCCAAAAAAAAAAAAAAAGATGCAAAATCCTGTTGGGACTAATTACAGAACAGTCTGTCCAAAGGGGAAATTTCTTCTAGTTCCTGTTATACAATGATTGGCATATGCCCTGAAGCGCAAGGATTTATACCCGGTGCAGAATTCTTAGGCTAGTCACATTATTCATATAAGTACCTAACCATATTCTGGGTGCCAATGGTATCCAGTGGCAGGGTGTTCTACAAGTCATTTAGGTATGGTGCAAAACATATTTGGCAACGTTTCTCTTCAATTATCCTTTGCTGTGTTTATAAAAAAAGATAAAAACAGTTGTTTCTGTTTATCTTCTCCATCCCCGCCATCTTTCTTCCCTCATTTCTGGAATGTATTTCTTATGACTCCTTACCATTTTGTGATTTTAATGATTACAGTCTATTTTGTGTAGGTTTCTGCACTGCACTTGGGACTGGAGATCTGAGTACCTTGCAGTGCTTTAACCAAATGCAAGCAGCGGTTTAGATTCTCCTTATTTTGCACTCAAAGTTGATGTGAGAACTACTGCATACCTAACAAGTGAAACAACTTTAATAGTTCATGTCCCTGATTCCAGAAATCAGACAGTGAGATTAAAAGTCTGTCCTCTCACAGCAGGGTGGAGAGCGTTTTTGGGGAGCAGAGATTTAACAGAAAAGCACTTTGCAGTCTGAGGTGGTTAAGCCTAACTTCTGATTATGGTACTTCTTCCTCAACCCTACTGTGGGTCATCTGAATTTTGACTTTTTTTTTCTTTCTTGGTATTAGTAGGAACATGGATAATAGTTTTATGCTCAAATAAGAGCCATAGAACTGAAACTAGAGGATATGTAAAGAAAGGAAAACCATTCTGACTAGCTCATACATGGGTGACTCTTGAGTCATCAGCTGGGGGCGTCCCCCATGGCCAAATCTCACTCGCCAAAAAAGCGGCTGCACCACTTCCAGAAGCGGCACGGCCACTTTTGCTGGCAGCCCCGCTCCCTGGTTGGTGCTTGCAGGGGGGGGCCACTGGTGTTCCCGCCTGCCCACTGGCTAAACAGGGAGTGTGGCCTGACGGGGTGCACTGGCGCTCTCAGGGACTGGACATGCAACCCCGTGCACCCCCTACGCATTGCCACTGAGCTCATCTAATCTCCGGTAGGATTCACAAGATGAGTCTTTCTTTATCTTGTCTATGGAACAGGCTATCTGTCCCTCTTGCTGAAATTTTCTCATGGCATGCTACTTGAATGTTCATGTCCAGAGAAAAGGGAGGGCCCATTTGCTAAGGACTGTGGCATTCATTTGGGAGGAGGGAGACCTGAATTCTGGTGCCCCCTACAATGAATATTTATTCATGTACATGGCACCCAAGTTGATGTGGTGGACTCCACTGACTGACAGGATGTCTGGTCATTAAACACTTGCTATGCTGAGTGTTGCAGCATAAACTCTCTTCTGAATTTTAGCTCCAGGAACTAGAAACATGACCAACCCCAGAGTTAGGTTGGCCACAGACAGCTTTGAGCAAAAACTTTCAAGTTTTCTTGGCTAATAAAATGCATACTTGATTCCTGCTATTATTTCCTGTGAATGGGACTTAAGTTCAATGCAGGATGAATTAGATTTAAATCAAATCAATTTAAATCCTGATTTAAATCACTGGTCAGAAAGCCTCAATTTAATCATTGTTTTCTACAAAAAGTGCACTCTTATTGTTTGATATAATCCTAATACATATTGTTCACAACTCGGAGATGTAGGCTACATTTTAAAGCAGTGATTTATTTTGATATTTTTTCAGATTAATTTTGCAGCTACATCAGAGAACTGAATTATGATTTGGTTATTTTATTTACTAAAGCTAATTGAAGCAGATACTTGTAAAGTTATTGGGAGATTAATTATCTCCAATTCACATCAATCATGGATATTTGGGGGATATTTTTGCCACACTGTTAGAAGGACATCAAATGAGTGCTGCAGCCATATTTTATTAGCTTGGGACTTTCTTTGAGATTTCCTTTTTCTTTTACAGCCTGGTAAGCCTGCTGCCATGATAGAAGGAAAAATCTACCATACCATTTCCTCACTAGATCTCAAATCAGTGGAGAGGCTATACTCAAGAACTTATCCCTCCAAGACTTCTGAAATACTTTGCTCACAATGCCTCTCTTTTGTTTCTACTGCCCCTCCCTCCTTGCATTTATCTCTAAACTCCTCCTCCTCGCCCAGATCTACCCCATGCCCCAACAATCCTATATTAATTTAACTTCTTTTCGAGAGAGCTTGACTCTGTGTACAGGTAAGTTGCAGAAAGACAACAGGGCTGATGGGTAAGTAATCAGGTGTGTTATCTCTCCATATACTGCTGTTAACAAGGATGTTATCTCTGGGGAGACAAATCCAGTTTGAGAACAAACTAAGCATCACAGATGCTTAATGGGATCTTCTAGACCAGCAGTTCCCAATCTGTGGTACCAGTACCACCAGTGGTATGCAGATAACCTGTCAGTGGTACGCATTAACAGGTTTATTATAATGACTATATGACAAAAATTTGCTGGTAGTACTTAAGGTTGTATTGTTTTACATTGGTGATGTGCAATCTGTCAGAGCTTGGGAACCACGGTCCTAGACGGAGCACAGCCCCATTGGGTAGCGTGGTTTTCTTTAATCTTTACTAACCTGTAGAGGAGCCTCTGGGAATCCCATAAGATTGGGCCACTAATATAATCCAAGGCCTGTTGTGACCTATTTATAAACTTTTTCTAAAAAGGTTACGTGAATCTATTGTCTCAAATAGGAGAAGTTCTAATTAGAAGTTATAATCCCTATTCCATGATGATATCTTTGAGCTTAACAGATCTTAAATTAAAACTATATATAGTTTTTTAAGCATTTAAAAAAGAACAAAATGATTACATCAAAAAATCTGATTTAAAAAAAACCCAAACTTTTTATCCACCCTGGTTCAGTGAATAGTTTCTGAATAAGAAAGTCAAAAAGGGACCTGTTTGTTTATACTAAGGAAACTGGTTGGATGTATGGCAGAAGATCTTAAATTGGTGCTAGGTCATGCAAGCCATTTGTCTTCCTTTTGGAGTCATTTCTGCAGGCTCCAAATTTCAAAAGGCCAGATAAAGTGATTGGAAGGAAGCAGTAAGTTTATAGTAATTGTGCCCCCTGTGAAGCTGTCACTGCTGAGGTAGAGGAAACAGGAGCTGGGGCTGTCAGTAGGAGTGAGTAGCTGAAGGCCAGCTGGTAGACAGGCAGTTTGATGAGCAGAGAACTGCAGTATGAACTGAAAAGAGCCAAGACAAAGCATGCTGTAGAGAGAAATAGAAAGCTTAAATGAAAGGATTTAAATTTTTTTCTTCCTAAGAAGCTGTTTCTAAAGGCCTGTTGTGTGGTTATGTGGGAGAAGAGGTCTGCCCTACATAAGGTATGAACTATGGGCATCTGTACACATGCTTGTATCTTAAAGTTAAGTGCCGGGTGCTGCAGCGCATACAGTTGTATAAGTGGCAAAATGTGCACCAGTGCTGAGAAAATGGCGGTGGCATGCTTTTGAAGTAAAACACCTCGGAGGTGTTTTAGTTCAAAAGTGCACCACCACCATTTTCTGTGCGCTGACACGCATTTCACCGCATATACAACTGCACGTGCCGCAGCGCAGTGTGGAGCAGACTCAATTAAACCCGTCTGCTCCAACCTGCCGAATATCTGGTGCATCATGGGATGAAAAGGTATGTGTATAAATGCCCTATAAGAAGAAATTTGTGAAACTTGGAGTGCTGGTGTTTAAGAACTTCCTTACGTGAACTTAAAAATCTCAGTCCTGTGAGAGTGGCACGTTCTAGAGTATGTCAGAGCCACACTTGATGACATGCTTGTGTCCAGACTTAGGGTAACGAAACTGAAGGGAAAAATGGTGCACACAATTTGCACTTGTAACGAGTCTCAAACTAAATTCTGAGCCACCAGCACTACTGCCATTAGCTCTTTATCTTACCTCAGTACCAAGGAATAATCCTTGGCTTTTTCCTCTGGTCACTGCATGCCTGGTACATGTAAACCTTGCCAAAGAATGCTTCAGAAATGCAGCAAATGCTGTTTGACTATAAGCCTCAATGTGAACACACTGCAGTGAAAAAGGTGTTTAAATGTGGGTATAAAATGACCTAGTCTTCTTTGTCTGCATTCTTTCTTTTTAGATGAGTGTGTTAGTTACAAAGGCAGGCAGGCTTTGGTCACTGTTGCAATACTGTAGATCTGCTAGCTTTTTGAGCATGTTTGACTAATCCAGTGATTCTCAACAAAGGTGCCGCAGCAACTTCAGGTGTCCTAAGATCTTTTCAAGGGTGCCAAGCAATGTTAGCACTGTTTTGTATGCAAACATGATTCATAAGATTAATTTGGAGATTTCAAACAGGAGTTCATAGTGTAAGAAACATTCTGACCTGCTGGTGTCTTTCTAGTTCTTGGCAACAGGTGAATTACTCTAAAAAGGTGAGTGAAAAATAAGAGCTGGTATTTTCTGTGTCTTGAAAAGGTTAGAGCTGAGGACCACTGGTCTAACCCAGGGGTTTCCAACCTTTTTAAACAAGTGTACCCCTTCTGCCTCAAAGTTTCAGCTCATGTACCCCTTTATATTTTTCTTGGTTTTAAGAAGTGAGGGGAAGGGGGGCAGATCAAGGCCCCTATGGTGAGGGAGGGTGTGTGGCTGGGGCAGGGGCAGGTGCCGCACAATTGGGGCAGAGTGCGGAGAGTGGTTCATCCAGGAGGCACGGAGAGGAGGGGGGCAGTTCCTGCTGCTGCGGGCACCCCGGTGGAGGTCTGGGTGGCATGTACCCCCCAGATTTGTGTGGGGTGGAGGCAGCTGCTGCTGCAGGCTGGACTCTGCACCCCGCTGCCCCAAGAGCTGTGCGATGCCATGTGCCTGCTGTGGTCGAGCAGGCAGGAGATGGAGAGGGAAGGGGCTGCGGGGCTCCAGGTCGAGAATGGGAGGAGGTGTCTCTGCCCGCTCCCAGGAGCAGAGCTGGGGTGGGGCAAGGGCAGTGGTGCCTCTCTGCGGGCTGCACGTGTGCCACCTGCCTGGCTGTGGGGAGCAGGGCTTGCACGCAGCATCTGCCACTGCCCCACACTACTGCTGCCATGCTGCTTTCCCGTGGCCAGTTGCACATGTGGCTCTGCGGGCTGCTGACGGGCAGTGTGCGCGGTGCGAGGCATGTCGGCAGCCCGTGGAGCTGCATGTGCAACCAGCTGCAGGAAAGCAGCACAGGGCATGCCAGCGGCGGGGGCAGGGGGCGGGCGGTGGCG